GACAGGGAACGGTGTTGAGTAACTACAGGATAACCTCCAACCTTSCTWAGGACTGGGGCATTCTAGYACAGCATAGCACATGAGTGACATTKCTCACTTGGGATTCAGAGAWCTACGCCCTCATCTTAAGCTAGGCTTGTTAGCCAYGTGCTTGGAAAAACAAAAAGGAATCACGAGCTTCTGTAATGCATTACACCATATTTTGCACCTTCATAAAACAGTTTGTCACATGCACCCAAGACACAGAAAAACAAATTCAATGCTTTAYCTGTCCAAGGAGAGTCCACCCTTCCTCTTTCTAAGTGTCCCTCACCATCTGATGAGTGACACTCTCCACTCCTTCTGTAGGAATGACATCACTGTTCTTGAATTGTTAAAATACTCACAGACAAGGGAGAAGAGAGTGATCAACTTTGTCTCCTGATGTCTAAGACAACCAGAGGAAAATCTAACCACCTGCTCCAGTCCCTGCTCCAAGTATGGTTCATATTACTTCATTCAATGGTTGTTCTATACATTACCCTATAGTTTGGCTTTTTATAGGAATATTTTACCCAGACYACAAGGAATCTAGCATGAAGCCCCATATTTCTTACCCATCTCTGAGCAAACATCTCTCAGCAGAGTGACCTGGTTCCACTGAAGTGGACGGCATGCAGAAACAGAGGTGATGCACTGCATCTTCACTGGCCTCAGTGAAGTAAGTGGGTCTCAGTAAATTGGGAAGTYCTAGTTTTTAGCTTTTGGCATAGGCAGTTAACTGAAAGCATGCACAGACAGATCTGAATCTTCCCAAATAGTCTGCTGCTCTCTCATCTGCATCCTGCATGACTGATCTATTCATTCAGTTACCAAATATAAGACCCTTAATAAGGCTGCCAGAGTTTTTTGTATCCGGCAAAGGGRAAGGGAAATAAAAGAAAGTTACTCCAGTGGTGTTACATGTGAAACCTGTCTTGAGGATTTCAGCAGACTCTAAGTACATGGTGGCAGATTCATCCTCCTGAGGAGAGAGTCCTGCTGAGGCCACCTTTCTAACAGAGCAATGTTTAGAATAGGTAGCTTCTGTGACCTGACAAGATCAGGGTTCTTCAAGGTGTGGTCAGAAAGAAATCTTCAGTTATGTGGGATCCACAACAGAGCTACCTTCAAAGTAGGGAAACTTTGGATAACAGCTGCTCAAAATTGTCTTAAGGATTACGCTGGGATTTAGGCACCTTATTTTTGTCCAAATTCTTCCTCCTTTTGTGGCTTTGGACTGTAAAATGGGGATATRTAGCCTTTCCAAGTGACTGTGAGGATAAAAGTATTCATGGTTTTGAGGTAATGGTGCTAAAATTCTGGTAATGGGGATCCAGAGATAGCTGAGGGCTGCTTACTCACACTGTGTTTCCTTTCTCAATAACTAATAGCATGTCTAGGCTTTGATGTTGATGGGTAGGCAGAAGAGTGGTCTTGATTAAAAGCATTAATTTACCTCTCGCAGATAACAGATTCATATACACAGGTCTAAATCAGGACTAACTGCATCAAAATAAACAGCCCTCGGGTAAAACAGGTGTAAAAGAGAAGAGAACCAGACCCTGCATCTAGCAGACATATGACAAGGTAAATGGGCAAACACAAGAAAAGTGAATTATTGTTATTATATGTGTGTGTTACATTCAGTACCATTAAAATCTAATGYTACAAAGAAAATACCTTTCAAGCTTGCAAAATATACGCAATAGGAGCTGTCAAGAACTCATCAGAACCTGTGAATGTTTCCTTTGTCTATGTTGCTTTCATTGCAGTGTTGATATTAATCAGAAGTAGCTTCATTCACAGAAAATTATCAAAATGAAAAAAAAAAATCAGGTTCTTTAGCTTTAAGGATATTAACTGAGATCCATTGACTCAAGAAAACCTTTAAAATTTTTGAATTACATCTTAAATGAACATTTAATTTCATAATTTATCAACTCAGATAATAATGTTAAGAGATCTATGCTGATACAAACAATTGTGTTAATTACAGTAAAAGCCATCGAATTAAATTCAGTTCCTGGAATCAATAGCATGTCTTCAAGTACAATTTCTAATTATGGCCATACCTTCCATTTGGACTTTTATTAATGCATATGTTATATCTGTCACCTTCTTCAGTGTGAGCAAACACACTGTATGTTAATTCACACCTGATAACAATCGTTTTTCTGGTACTTACCTTCTAAACCTGATGATAGGATATGTCAACACCTATGGGATTTTATATTTTCTTTGAGGACTTTGTGAAAGTTACATTCTTTTTATTTTAAATCTGCTGCTAAATGACAGTTTCCAATTTTAATTACAAAAATTGACAATAAAAATGAAGAGTTAAAGACCTTACTCTCATTGATGCAGTCTCTACTGTAACCTCTAGAYGTTGGGAAGTTACAAAATCTGAGCAGATTATGCTTTAGAAGCTGTTACTTTAGAAATTTCTCRTTTCAAAAGGAAGTTTTCTCATGCTTCCATACAGATAAAGGTTGCCAATAGTTACTTAGTCACACTTCCCCCTGCCCCTAATAATCTAGTTATATTAAGCTTAGACCAAATACTCTAGAAAATCCCCCATCACACCTGCCTTCCTGTTCATCACACATTTTCATGTTCYGTATCACAAAGCATCACCTCCTTCAATGGACTGTCTCATGACAAACTCCCAGGACAGACTAAAATTGATGTRAGTACATAACACTTCATGCTAATTTCCAGCACATTTCACAGTCTTGCCTCCCTTTACCCACCATGTCACCAATGAACTCCTCCAAAGTGCCATAACCTTAATTACATTTTAACTTCATCACAGAAGAAAGTGATATCTTCATTAACTATTGAGAGGCAATTTCCAGGCTGAGTTGCAGGTATGTTCTTTCATAGACTGGTGTTTTCAGGCAAGGCATAACTGTGACAGTGTGTTAGAAAAACATYGTCTTTTTCTTGGCTCTCAGTCATCCTTTAACAGATTATGAAATCAGTTATTGTTTTGTTGTTTGGAGTTTTTTGGGGAAACCTTTCACATGACAATAACTKTCAGGCAATTCACCATAGCCTAAATTAGACATTTTGAACAGCTTTTTTTGGTTTCTCTGTGGCCCTTGAGCRACTCAGCCTAAGCATCACAAGCTCATCCTCAGTGTCCGTGGTTTTTTCCATATCATCAGTTTCCCCAAGGAAACTCTTAGTTTTATTGCAGACAAAGAATTCTGTACAKGTATTAGGCATTTGTAACATACCCCTAAGCCCTAATGTCACCCCAAAGATCAATGGTGCCACTAGTAAGGAAATACTACCTGAGCAGAAGAGATGGAGATAGGAAATGATGACAAACATGAYCAATAGAAGAGTTACATGTGAGGCAGAAAAGCAACTACTAAGGTAAGTGGGAGTGCTAACAGAGTCAAACAAGAAGCTGAAAAAAATATGAGAGATAACAAGAAGAAAAAAACGTTGGGGGACATGAAAATTTGGGGGTTAAGGAAGAGCAGATTCCATTATTAAAGTGTCAAAATCTGCCAGAACATCTGCCCAGTAGGCTGAGGAGGTCCTGGGCAGAAGGATTGCACATCACTGCTCATCACTGCAGTATTAACCACAAACAGGGCTCATTTGTATCAGCTGCTGTCTGCTCAGGATTATCAAGTTACCAATATGATAAGCCACCTGTATATTCATATCTGCCATAGTGCAAAAATTACTGTAGCAAAACATCTGATTTTCACCCTTTACCTGTACTTGCATGTAAAACATTAGATAACTTCCTGGTTGYCCATGCTGTTGTCATCAAAACACTTGGTCTCATGTTATTTTTGTAGTAGAGTACCTGACCATAAATGTCTGCATGGACACTCCRGTAAACAAAGATGCATTCTTCAAAGTATGTACTTATGTATACTGTGAGCTAATCCTGCTTCTGGTGAAAAAGAAATTTAGAATTGGGTCCTGACATGGAAATTTCACTAGTAATAGGTGGGGCTGTCAGACATGCACAGCTCTAGCTGACAGGAGGTGAGGTGGGACAAACATTTCTACAGCTGAGCACCAGGTGCCCTCAGCATCCAGAATGAGCAGCCATCTAAACCCTCTGTTGAAAAATATGATTTTTCTGAAGTCATCCAACATCACACGCTTTCAGGGGTACTTGGTGACAATCTCATGGCACTTGGTGACCACAGCCAGTGTTCACCAGCAGCTCCTCTCTCTGCYCATGAGCTTCTGCAGGCAGGAAGAGGAGGTACAACTGCAGGTTACTCTCTCCTTCACTCTGTGCTCTAATTCCATTATAGTCATCCTCCACACTGTCATATAAACAAGGGAGGCAGCCTCTGTTAAAAACAGAGTATTACTGTATAAAGCAAGTCTATCTCCCAGTACACACAGCAGGGCATCAGACTGGGAATTTTCAAAAAGTTACAATCCTACGATTATAACTCCCTTTATTTTGGCATTTTCTTCATTCTAAGTGCTTAACTTTGCAGCCTCAACGTTATTATCATTTTCATTACTTTATTAGCTGGTTAATTTTAAGTTTTCTCATATAATTAGAATAACTGCCCAAGACTCATTCACAAGAACTTGGGATTTTGTAAAATGCTACCAAGAAGACAGCACAAAAARGCCTGTGTAGCTTTATAAATATACATGCATTTTATATTTAATATTTTATATTTTATAGATATATTTTTATTAAAAGATGCTGTTTACTTGCTGGAAGTCAATCTAATCTCATATTTTATCTCCTACAGTGGCCAAAAGCAGGCACTTGGAGAAAAATACAGGAACAGGAAAACACAAAGTGGTACTGTTTCTAAATATTCTCTCAACATCCCTCTCTGGCTCAGGCAATACCTGAGTGGTGTCATTTTAGTTAATAGATTTAGTGGACTGGCTTTTCCATTCACACACTTTTGACCTCTTGCAAACATTCAGCATCTTCAGGAGATTGTGAAACACAATGAAGGAATGGAAGTGCTCACCTGGAGAGCAGGGCATCCAGGGCTTCAGGCCATGCTCCAGTGAGAGCTTATCTTTCCCWTGAAAGAGCCATGGAGTAGCTGTGCCCAAGGACTGAAGCAGACACCACTTCTTCTGCAAAAATCTTTTTCCAGCTGCTCTTTTATCCACAACAAAAGAAATTGTGAAGAGTCTACATGAAGCAGCACCAACGGTGTGTGATGAGCAGTTCACTGGCCTAGGCACTTCCAAGACACATTGGGAGCAAGGGATGCAATCCAGGTCCTCAGTGTGATAAGCACTGGCCTGTGGAAAGGAGAGCAGAGRGTGTTTCCAAGGAAAGCATTGGTACACCAAGCCCACTCCAGCCCGGCCCTGTGGGATAATGGGCTGAAGAGCCCCAGAACTGTGGGTCTGCGTGGGTGCTCAAACATGGGATGCCCAGCAGCTGAAGCCCTTCACCRTGAGAAAGTGGGGCATTCACAGGCATCAGGCCGGGGCGAGACAATCATGAGAGGCATCACGAGCTCTCATCATCACAGCTTTGAACTGCAGTCTGAGTCCTGCCCAGTCCCTTGCTTGCATCCYCCCCAGAGCAGATGCACATCCACAACCAGTGCTCTGCTGTTCCCAGTGCTGGTGCTTTGCCTTAACTAAAAGCCAATGAAGAACCTTTAAAGCTATTCCTACAAGACAATATAATAATAATATTTAAAAGATATCATATTATTGAGCACAAATTAATGATTAACATTATTACTTCAACRCACTAATAACATTTTAAAATACCCTTAATAGCTTTTTCATTTTAAAAGCAATAATCGGAAGAATCACCTGCTTCCCCAACCAAATGTCAAGGAACAAAACAATGTTTCCTTTTCCCATTACAAGACCCACTTATGAGGAGAAGAGTGCAGCCCTGTAATGGCTCCTAGCAGCTGCTGCTGAAGGGACTAAGAGGGAGGAAGATAACAGGTTAGCAGGAAAATATGTGGAGGAAGCAAAGCCAGCAGCAGAGCTGGATAATCCAAGTGATATTRCCTGCATGCAGGTGCCAAGACCATCAAATGTGGGTCAAGAGCAGGTGGCATKGCCTCAACAGTCCTGCTTGTCTCAGGAGAGAATGTGCAGTCAGACTGAGCAAAGGGGGAGAGGTTACTCTGAAACGCAGTGACCAAAGGGCACAAGGTAATGATGCAATGCAAACAGGCCTGGAGGCTTGGGTCAGCATGTCCTGCACCCTGCTCCCTGGGTTTGGTTTGGTTAATTGTGCACAAGACCGGTTAAAAATATCTGCATTGAACTTTCCAGCATCTACAGTCAATAGGCAGTGAGGAGCAAAAGATGTTTGCTCAGAGTAACTCCACTTCTCAGGAAGGTGGGCATAGGGTTCCCCATCCTTGGGCAGGACATCCTGCAGGCAGGACTCCCCCACCTTTGGGCTCAAGCCAGTATGCTCMTGTTGCCATTAAGGATCTCTCCAATTCACTCATCAATGCCCCTTATATTAGATCTAAGGGCAGCTGGAGGATTTAGCTACCCACTTGCAACTGCCTTGAGACATGGGATATTTTTTAAAAGAATGTGAAAATCCCTTACCCAGAACATCTTGAGAAAACTTGAAGGCCCTGCAARTAGCTGTGGAGAAGGAGTTTACATTTCTGCAGTGGCTAGAGATTAAGAGTTGGACTCAATGATCCTTGTGGGTCAGTTACAACTCGAAATACTCTGTGCAAAACTGTGAATATCTCTGGTCACTATTTGTGAAGAGTGTCTTGTACATACAAGGCTTTTAACCCCAGTTCTGATAYATTTAATGCTTTGTTTTCTGAATATTTAAAGTAGGGTTATTTTCAACAATTCCACGGYTATTTTTACCAGTTTCTTCCTGTTGCTTTTAGTACTAGACAGCAGCAAATCAGTGAGAGAGTCACACAGCCTGGTGTGGACTTCCCTAAAGAGGCATCAGGTGACCAGGAACGAGCTTGATGTTTCAGCATCCTAACTCGTCCAGATAGAGATTCCTGGAAACAAGCTTTTCAGCTGCGCCATGGATGCTGTGCCAAATGCCAGCAGGCTTGGACCGCACCAAACAATGCTGTCATCGAACTAGAATGCAACAAGAACGCTGACTTCACATGATCAAGGAGAGAAGAAGGGTCCTTCCTAAAGACATAGCTTGGGAATCTAACAGAGGAAACATGGCTGTGTTGGTTTTGCTGTACAGACGTTGCTGTCCTCCCGGAGACAAACCTCCATCTCCATGGATCGGGTTCCTCTGGAAAGGTGAGCAGCCACTCCTGTCAAGCAGCGCCGGCCTCTTGGAGGGGACACTTCATCCTTCTGCAGGGCTCAGGCACCACTAGAGGGAAACCCAGCACCGCCCTCAGCCCTCCCTTGAGCTTCACAAGGAAAGGGGCGAGCGGCGGGGATAGCGGCGGCGGGAGCAGCGCTGCGCCGGGCGAACGAGCTCCTCCCGCCGGGCGGAGGCGGCGGGGCCGGGGCGCTTCCCCCTTCCCCTTCTGCCCCTTCTGCCCCTTTTCCCCTGCTCCTCCACTGCGGGAGGAGCGGGACCGAGAGGGATGCCGCACTAAAACTCTGGGGGAGTAAACAGGAAAGGACGAGGGGGAAGTAATGATAAACTAAACTAAACTAAACTAAAGTAAAATAAAATACAATACAATTTGTTAATTAAAATTAAATACAGTAATAATAAGCTGAGGAGCGACTGCTGGGAGGGATGCTAGAATTTCTTAGGGTACCTCATCTCTCTCAAACCAGTAGTCACGGCTACTAATTTGAATTCAATATTAGCTAAAAAATTGCTTCCTCCTGGTTATCTTCATCTTACCAGTACAGAAATCTCTCCTGCTGGCAGAAACCCCTTGACCCATTTAGCTCCTAAAGAGATAGTACTGCTCCAAACAGCTGCTGAATTGTTTGTTAGCAACATGATAACCATCAAAGGACAGAGCAATGGCAAAAAAAAGTTTATGAGAATTATCATTACCATAATCATACTTCACTTAGCTTGTGTAACAGGCATGTTTCCTCCCCCAGATCTTGTCTTTAAAGAAAACAATGCCAAGTTTTCTACCATCCAAAAATTATCAAAGTAAACAAAAGTGAAGGGTAAAGCAGCAAAGGCTGGAGTTGACACAAAATTATTCAGAAAATATTAAACTACAGCTAAAAAGYACAGGAATACTTCATAGCATAGCAATACGAAGTTAGATTTTGCATTAAATTCCACATGAACAAATGCACTATACAGCACCTGAGGCGGGAAATCTAAACATGTCACAGTTTTTAAATGAACTGGTTTTACTAGGAAATTAATTTCAGAGCTATGATGGATACCTGAGATCAAGGCTTCTTGGTGGACAAAACATTAGGAAGGATTACTAGAATCAATAGGACTGACCAGAAAATGTCATTTTACCTTTCTATGTATCCTTAACTACAGTTTGCACTCTGTATTAAAAAGATAGCCAGAAAAAAAAAAAGATAGGTTCTGTAAAAGGTGACCAGATATGGAAAGGCTCTCATTTGAGAAAAAAATAGCCAGGAGAGAAGCAGGACTAGGTGAAACGTGGAAAGGAGACAGCAGAGGGTGGTGACACTTCAATCACATCRCAGGTACCCTAAAAATGTGAAGAACAAAATCTCATTCCCTGTTTCACTTAACAGAAGTATTGATTTTTCTCAGTTAGAATACCACCTAGTAGTTTTAAAACAAATASCAAGGATTTTTGGTGCAGTTTTCAGTTCAGCAGTTTTCAGTTCATGCAGTTTTCATGTCASAGGACGGCATGGAGATCAAAGACATGGCGAAATCCAGCAAGGGATTAGAGAAATTCACTGCAGCTTCTAAACAAAAGTGCATGAAAAGCTCCTAAAGCTCTGGATGCACAGTCCAGGAGCAGGACCATTACATATTTGTCTGATTATATTTTTCTTTTTTAAGTGTCTTCAGTTGGCCAGTGTCAGGGAAGGAGTGTTGGACTCTGTGACCTAGCATGGTGTAGACAAGTGGGAAAACCGGATCACCACACGACTGATGTTCTGAAGTTCATATCAAACTGAGGTTGGAGCTGGGAACTGACTTCACACCTACAAACCATCATATCAGGAATACAGCAATACATAACCACAGGAGCAGCTTCCCTGCACAACTCTGTGCCAGAGCTTCACTTGCTGGTCTGGAAATGAACCAGGCAGTAAAAGCGATTAGCAGTGGAAAGACACTAGACAGCTGTAATTATCTAAATGCCTTCCTATTAACCATGTGAGAAACTAAATCCTCACAATCACATTCATTAGTAAATGCTAAGGACAAACTAACTACATGAAGTTTCATTTGATTAGGCAGAAGAATTCTACTCCAATATGATTATGTTACACAGAACGACCTAAAAAAAATTAACCAAGTCTGCTTCAGAGAGAAAATGAATGTTAATACTAGCAGACGAGCAAAGAAGCCCTGTGCTTATGGTACAAGGATTTCTCCTACCAACAGCACGGCCAGGCTCTCTCAGCTGATGGCAAATGCTCCCAGCTCCCCAGGGTGGCTCCTGTTTCCACTGCTAGACCTGTGGATAATGARTGCAAGGGAGACAGAACCAGATCTGTTGCAGCACACTGTAGTGATTCAGCTGGATATTAGCCCCACTTAGAAAACCCTTCAGTGCTGCAGTGAGAACAGAGAGCAGGCAGCCGGAGAAATTCCCCTTGTTGATGCCTGCATTGTTTTTCACCTGAGGCAGAAATGTGGTTCAGTGGATGGASCATCAGCACGAGAGGCATGAGCACAGCCTGACAGCTGCTCATCTCAGAGGTGCTGGATTTTAGCCACYCCTGGCACACCATGCTGTACACATGCGATGCGTCACCCGTCCCTATGCCAGACACACTCACTCCTTCCTGCATTTGCAGAGCACAAGGAGAGCTAAACAACAATTTCAAAGACATGTGAAAATAGTAGGGCACRCATCAGTTTTCAGGGCAGGCTGCTTTCTTGGTACTTTTGCTGATTTCTTTGTTGAAATACTGATAAAGAACAAACTTTTCTGAATCAACCTCTTCCAAGAACCTGCATGCATTGACTAAGAAGGGGGGTGTGTGCTGGTAGTGAGGATGRAGGAGCTCACTGCACCTTTATGGAAGTATGAGGGCAATTCCAGCACCAAGCTGAATCCCACTGGATCCATAACATCCACAATTTCTAGACATTGTGGTGGAAAGCAGCATACCAATGTCTAGACACAAAAAAAAAAAAACCATGCATAATAAAATGAACAATGATA